GTGTGTGTGTGTGTGCGTGCGTGCACACACACACACACAATGCAGGAGAAGGGTGTGGGGTTGTTCTCTCTTGTTTATCTCTGTTTGCATTTTTATTCCACTGCTCTTCAAGGGCTTAGGCTGAATCACAGGAACATCTTTAAATAGGCCCAGGTAAGTCTTGCAGGCCACTCTACCATTAAAATATTACAGCTCAGAAGCCACGGCACCCAAACAGGATTATCTCCTGACTCTCTGGCCGCTCCTTCATCACCGAGTCCAGGCACCAAAGGAAGCCAGAAGGTTCCTGCCTTTCCCGGCCCGGCTGCTCTGCCTTCCTTCCCTTCTCTGGCTGGGAGCCTGGGCCTTTTTTCGCACAGGCAACTCGGGGGCTCTTGTGAGTCTCTCAGTCCTTTGCACAGCAGACCCCTCCTGTTGCCACTGGCCGAGGGGGGAGCGTCAGTTGAAAGGGGACGTCCATCTGGAGGAAGGAGAGCTAAAGAAAGGGTGAGGATTGGGGCAGGACGCCGGGAAGGAATGCAGCCTTATTTTGAGAAGCGGACGAGGGCAAGGACAAGGCAGGAACTTGCTCATAAAGGAAGGAGGCTCTTCCTGCCTTCTGCTGGGATGGGGGCCCTTCGCTGTCCAACAGCGTGTCTGCCCGGCAGCGGGAACACCCTTCCTGCACAAGGCCGAGGCTGACCCTCCTTGCCTTTCCAAATGCGCCCCTTGTGGGGAGGAAGAAAAGGAGCCAGGCAGGTTCCCCAGACAGGTCCAGCCTCACCAGTGCTCTCTCTCCTTAGCCAGGAGCCTCCCAGTGCAGGTGGCCCAGCAGCTGCCGGCCCTTTAAAAGGGGCTGTGGGGTGTGGACTGGCCTCCCTGAGAAGCAGCCGCTTTGACACTGGGAGGGCCGAGGAGGGCCAGGCCTGTAATGCCTCCCTGTGGCACCGCTCCTCCGCGCACGTTGCTGCCACAAGATGGGGCCACGGCCGCTCAGCCTTGAAGGCCACGAAGGGGATTGGGAACACAGGGGCCACGGGAAGAGCGCTCTCTCCCGGCATCAGCTCCAGCGCCTGTCAGCGCTTCTCAGCCTCGGCAGCTTGCAGATGTGTGGACTCCAACTGTTCAGTCCAGACATGCTGGCTGGGGGATTCTGGGAGCTGGAGTCCACAACTGAAAGCCGCCGAGGCTGAGAAGCGCTGGCCTAAGGGAAGTATCTGTGGTCAGAGGCTGTCCTCATCTGAATCCCTTGCACTAAAGGGTCAAATAATGATGGGGGTGGGCACTCCGGCTCTCCCTGACCCCCAAGCAGCTGCCACCCACCAGAGTGGCCTTTCTCTCTGGCATGCAGACAGAAACTCAGCAGGTCGAACCCTTCGCTGGGGAAGAAAGGCTCCTGAGCAGCCGCAGCAGCTCTTTTC